TTTAATAAAAATTATTATTATGTAAACTAACAGGAACTGCATTTACGTAAAAAGTGCACTCTACGTTTTACATTTTGGCAAATTCATTTTGTACAATCTCATTTGTTTTTTTGTTTTTTTAAGATCTGCTTACACCCCACTGAGGGTTAGGTTTGGGATAAACCTTTATGGTTTATTTAAAAAATATATATATATATTAATAACAAAATCACCAACTTGTAAAATAGACATGGAAATTACACCTTTTTCCTCTTTCAATTCTTGTTTTGAAAATCTGTAATTCCAGCAAATGTTTTTTGTGTGTCTGTAATGGCTTCTTAACTTTTATTGACAACAACAGAAACACAAAAAAAGTCATATTACAAGGCTTGTGCAAGATTATGAGAAAAGTATTACATAACTAGAAATGGAGCTTCATTGACTCTTTATTACACCCATGTGAAATAGGTATGCAGTGTGGAAATGATTGGTTACACTTTATTTAAGGTGTTTTTGTTACACTGTAACTACATTTAAGTAATATTACGTAACTACGTACATACTGTAGGATTAGGGTTTACATAAGGTCTTTTGCTCGCTTACCTCTCTATAAAGAGCGCCTTTCATGGATTTTTTAAAATGACTGTTCATATGGTGTGGAATATAGCTCTAAGGGAATGAAAACATCCTGCAAAGATTTATTATTATAAGAGTCATTAGCCAGTCCCTCCAGGATTTCACGATTTTTTTTTTGTGATTTTTGCGATCAAAATGACTGATTTTGTGGTGGTAATTTCCAAAAATTTGTGAAAAAATTTGTCATTTATATATAACATTTACCATAATAGTATTCAGTCCTTCCAGAAAAACGCGGAGTTTTTTTGTGATTGTTGCGGGCAAAAATTGATGATTACATGGTAAACTACTGGCAGCTGTGGTTGCCAGCATCATACCGTAAATTTATGCAATTTTATGCGATGAAATTGCAGGAATTTGCAAAAATTGAGGGAACTTGCAAAAATTGCAGTTTGATGAAAAAGAGAAAAAAAAGTGATTCCCCCAACACCCTGTTCTCACTAGGCTAATGTAAGAGTCATTTCTTATTACTTCCTTTGATAAGCAAGCATACTACATCATAGAAAGTGCTTGGAATATTTAATTTCTCATCTTGTTTTATTTCAGACTGTAACGAGTGTAAATAAGGTGTGGCCCCTTTAAGAGCTGTGCGCTCCCTGTTGAACTCTCTGCAGTGTTATTTGTGCGCATCGAACACCCCATGTGTGCGGGTAATTTCTGTTTGATGCTACTTCTTATATCTTATGTTGTTTATTAAGTAACGATGTGAGGGTAGAACGTGTGACAGACAGTTATACGAGTTCGATTTGTGAGATGTCAATCGCCTCCGTGAGTCTGTCTGGCGTCGCGTAATTGCGTCACTTCATAACGTTCCCATGGAAACAGGGGGAAATGGCTGCTCTTGTGTGAAGCAAACGCAACATTTTTCAACTTTCTGCTAAGATACATGTGACTTTTTTTGCAACGAAAATGCGAGGATTATGAAATTATGCAAACCCCGCATATTTTGCACAGAAATCGGCAATTTATGCGGCGAAAGTGCGGCGTATTTGAAAAAATGCAACCCCCGCATAAATATGCGGACTTTGGCTGATTTTGCATTGAATTCAGCGATCGCATAATCGCGTTTTTCTGGAGGGACTGATTAGCTGTTAAATCGTGACGTAGGGAGGTCATTGGCCGTGCCCAGTTACTGCGCGCGCAGACGGAAGTGAACTTGAAGTCTACACATTAAAATACTTCATCATAGCATCATGTCAAGAAGACGCTGTGTTCTACAATGCAAAGATAGTTCAGCCACTACGAGCATGTGAAGATTCAGTGGTTAGAGTTCATATTTGCAACGATACCACAACAGTATAGCCCGGTTGTGTTCTCATCATTTTAATTACGAATCGTTCAAAAACATAAATGAATTCAAATGTGGATTCGCAAGCGGTTGTTCCTGAAGGAGGGCTCAGTAACTTACTTACCCAGTGTATATGGATCAGTTTCCTCCGTCGAATTACAACCTGTAAGTATTATTAATAATTGTTGCTTTCATGGGTTTTGAACGGTTTTGTAGCGCTGGGCACGATATGTATGTGTGTGCGCGTGTATCTGTGTGTGTGTGTAAGTTATGCTCAGCGCAGCTTCTAGGTCTCCAATGTCTATTTTTTTTTTAAATGTGAAATGTTTGTCGCTGTTATTGGAGTTGTCATAAAGAATAGAGCGTCTTGTAGTACTGCAGTGCTTTATTAATATGTTTATGCGTTATGCTAACAAACAACTGACTGGGTCTGTCATCTGACCAATCACCGCCGATTAGCGTCACGCAAATGAGTGGTTTGGAAAAATGAGTCGTTGTACGAATCATTTGGGAGTTGGTGAGCAAATCAATTAAAAATAAATGCATATTATAAGACAAATAAAGTGTTTTTTTTATCCTTGCATGCATGTTAAACTGTTTTTGGGAACTCCTAAAACAAAAATAGGAACATTTCAAATGCTATGATAGGGGCTCTTTAAGAGCTCAACATCTGTCTCGCATGCACGCTCGCCAGATTACAGGATATTTTTTACTAATTTGCGGTAAAACTAGTCGATCACGAGTGGCTCAACTGGTAGATCTATAGATCAACTCATCTTTCAGGCATTTGACCGACCGGGTTGACACTTCAGCGTGAGAAATCGGGAGTGTGGCGTGAGAACGTGAGAATTGGCTCAATTGCGTGAGTTGGCAGCCCTGTTTTTGTGTTTCATTAATGGCGGACAGATGACTAGCAGTTCCTGTGTGGATCAATGCTCTTCAATTTGACTGAAGAGTATATAATTATAAAATTACATCACAACTATTGCGATTTGATGATCACACTGAGCCATATCACATTCTCACAAACATGCACTGTCAAAATTTATTTAAAAAAAGATTCCCAGACAACCAGCGTTTCAATGCAGATTTTTACTCACATTTAGCTCTTCGAACCCTCGCTAGGCAAAGTGTGTCCCGCAGATGGCGCCACGATTAAAAAAATAACATTTTGCAGTTTTAGTAATTATTTATAGCAATTTTGCGATTTCAATCATCATAAGGCAACCAGTTATAGTTTAAGTACTGTAATAAATAAATTAATTTATTAGAAATTAGAAATTAATTTTTGATATGTTTTAGCTTACCTCAAGGGCATCCAAGATGTAGGTGTCTTTGTTTCCACAGCGTTTTTTTAATTTTGACATTTTTTGGTCAAACCGTTCTTGACTGTCAGTCATATAATGGAGGTCTATGGTCACCACCTCAAAGAGCATGCACAGAGAAGTCCAGATTAAACATGATTTAATGACTCGTAAATGTAAGTACACACTGATGGCCTAAGACACGAAACGAGCGGTTTGTGTGAGAAAACGAACAGTATTTATATCGTTTTTACCTCTTGTTAACAGCCATGTCCAACTGATCTGAATCAGATGTCCAACTGAACCGAACTGAACCGTCTCCAGACGTTACGCTGGAAGTGATCTCTCGCGCGTCTACGTCACGCATTGTTTACACAGAGATTTCGGAAGTTTTATCTTTCAATAAACATATTTAGATATAGCGAAATCGTCTTCCATTGTGATGTCCCGTATATCTAAATATGTTTAGTCGATGTTTTCTTTTTATGCCTTTTTTCCTCAGTGTAGATACTGTTTGTGAATGCAGTGGCCAATCGGAGGGGTTTAGATTAATTTCATAATTTTTATACTTTATGTCTATTTACTGTATATTATCCAATTGTTGAGTATGAGAAGCCTTAAAAGTTGGTGTAAATAAACATAAAAGCTATGTCAGAGCTTCTGTTCCACCTTTGCAGTGTAAAAATGTTTTTGTTGATATTGTGAAAATTGTATTGGTAATATAGCTATAGCTTTCTGAATGAATTTTACATAAAATACAACACAGATGCAGGTGCATCAAGTAATGATAAATATAATCGCCCTTAATGGCCTGGCAATAGCATCCCTGCTGCAGGGTTCACACTTTAATTTAGTTATATTATAGTTTTAATAGTTTAATTCATATGAAATCACTTACTTGTAACGCTCACATATTCACCAGTGAGGTCACTTGGTTAAAAGGCAGCAGAGAACACTTTGCAATTATAACATTTCTAATCGCAATCAGGGTTTGTTTGTTTTTTTTCTCTGACTTCACAATGCAAATGAATGTAGAAGTTTTAATATCAAAAACATACAATCTTTAAAACAAGCTGGATGTACAAATATGAAATCACTAATAGATAAATATCATAGACACCTAAAAAAAAACTATTTTACAGTAGAAAATAAAATGTTCCCTCTTCTCCCTCAAATTTGGTGAGAATATTGCTATAATAAATGTTGACCTACCTTTTTAATTTTTTATTAATAACTCTGAAATAGGTTCAAAGTTCTTAATTCCTATAATTCCTTGTTCCTATAATAAACAATTTAGTTTTTATTTCTATAAATAAAAATGTGTCCATCATTCTAGTTTTCTTGTGGAGATTCAGGATATATTTGTTAGTGCAGATCATGACTACATCCCATTTTATTCATTTCATTCTGATGCTGATCATTTTCTATAACACAGAGGACATATATGTGTGATTGACAGATGAGGAGCTGATAATGTTGACCTCAAGAGAATAATAAATCCTTAGGTCTGATCTTTATCCATCAGTTTGAATGGCTTTTTTTTTTTTTAAAGTCATTATCACTTTGGGAATTTCCAAAATTTTTGAGGACACTTACAATATGACTTTGCAGTAAAAAAATTGTAAAGATGTGTGTCAGTCTCCCATATAGCAAGTTTTGGTGCTTGAGACTGTTTGCCTTTCAGCTATTTGTACTTTTGTTGTAGATTTTGTACCCTTGCTGTGAATAGTGAAAGAAAAAAAAACGAGTGAATCTTCCTCTAATTGAGACCTGCTACAAAACCTCCTCAATGGAATATTTTATGAATTTATTGATACTACAAATAACAATTATGACAGATCTACAAAGTATAAACCTTATACAAATGTGTTCACTTCATTGTTTACAAACGGTTCATCGCTCAAGCTAAAGTTGCGTTTCCAACATTAATGTCACTTACGCTTTATTATTATTTACATAAACAAATACAAACACAAGAAATCTGTCCTCAAACTTTTGAAAGTGCAACACTCGTAAAAATAAAAGTTTCAAAAGGTTTTTTTTCCCTCCTTTTTGCATTGACAAAAGAAAAACTGGGTTCCTCAAAAGAAACAGTTTTTCTCAGTGTGAAGAGAGAATTATAATAATCTATAGAATATTTGTTAGACCTATAGAATCTATAGAATATTTGTTTACTATCAATGCCAATAAAGAAACTCTATTTTTAAGTGTATCTGTGTTTTTGTAGTAATCCTACCAACTAACTACAGCCGTAAAATGCATTTACACACATTGTAAAGAGCTTTGCGTTGTTGTTTTTTTCCTGAGACACACTCCATTGTTTAATTCCAACGCTATAAACACTTGACATTAGTCAGGAATCTTAAGATAAAAACATTACAAACATTTGAAATGACATCTGAATATCACATAGAATGCATTTCTATTACAATCAATTTTAAAAAAGCAAATAGTAGTAAAATATCTCAGTCCATCCAGGAGATGTTAGCCATTTCAAACACGAGAGTTTAAGCAAATGTAGCTATGTTTTGCCACTAAGTCAACTAATTTAGGAACTCCTTTCTTGTAGATTAAGGTGCTAATTTCTATTCTATTACCTCGGCCTTCTCTGCTCCATTCCATTGGGCAGGAATCCCGCGATAATGGGAACTGGCCATATGAGGGCAGCGACGCTCCATATAATGATGACTAAAGTCATGAAACAAGCCACCAGAGTGGATTCGATGGGTTTGCGGTTGAGCCTCCAGCTCCGGTCCCCCTTCAGCTCGTCCAGCGCGAAATCCACGCAGCAGAAATGCACGGAGTCGCCCGTCGGCGGACCCTCGGACCTGCCCCGTCGGAACCTCCGGTACCGGGACAGCCCGCATCCCACGCAGAGTCGGAACTCCTGCTGGCCGCCCGTGATGCCCAGGTGCTCGATGTACACCGGCGAGATCGCGCGGTTGAAGGCGGCGGAGAAGAACGCCTTGCCGTGGTTGTTGGTGGTGTACATGAGCACGTCGCACTGGAAGCCGAAGTTGCTGTCCCAGCGCGCCACGAGTTTGGTGGGGAGTCTCTCCACGCTCACGTTGCACGTCGAGGAGGCTTCGGGCTCCTCCACGGATCTCTTCGAGTAGCCCACATCCACTTCCAGACTGGCCACGAACCTCCCGGAGGAGTTGACGGGCGGCAGCAGGAGGTCCTCGTCGCTCCAGCTGTGTGCGCAGCGGCCGGGAGCGCTCAGAGCCAGCAGGAGAGTGATGGAGATGCTCAGCATGGCAGACCGCGCGGTTCCTCCAGGCGCATGGTGGTCTCGCACTCGCTCTTTATTCCGTGGAGCAGTCCGTCATGTGTGCGCTCCATGAGCTACGCGCGTGTCCTGGAGAGCGCGTGCAGTGACCGAGCGCACGGTTGCGCGTCAGTGACAGTGAGTTCTGCTCCTTCACCTCACTCTGCTCGCTTCTGCTCGTCTACAGGGGTAGGAGGCTCCACATCACAGCAGAGGCAACTCGTGCACTTCAGATGACAGTCGGCGATCACGTGGGTTCAAAAAGATCATTTTCGACACACGCTGAAGATTGACACTCTTTAACTCACTGGTACTGATTTCACTGAAATTATTGAACTTTATTTTAGTTATTTTATTTCATATTTTGTATTTCTACACTCTTAGAAGAAATAGAACCCCAAAAGGTTCTATCAGCGCTACTGGAACCCCTAAAAGGTTCTAAATAGAATCCTTTTTAAGAGTTCAATATTAAGAACCCTTTAGGAATGGAACGTTTTGGGTTCATTCATTATCATTTGTTTTGTCCTCTCCGGATTAAATATTTCATATTATTGACAAACATCAAGACCCTAAATTAAATGCATCTATGAATGCATGTGAATGATCACAAAATTCAACATATGGGGGTTAGAAAATGTATATATTTACATCATTTTATGTAGTTCCATTTCAGTGCCATTTCAGTTTTTCTCCTCCATAAATCAGTGTTATATTAAGTTACTACAACAGTTTAATAAACAACCAATTAAACTACAAAATATTGCAGAATAATGTAATATATGAATGAATAATAGCCTATTAAGAACCTTTGCCAAAAGCTTTTTAGCATAAAAGGTTCTTTGGAGTTGAGACCCCTATACCCAATGAACCCTTTTTTATAAGAGTGTACAGGATTTTATGGTAGCCTACTAAGGTTAAAATCCATTTATTCACTTTTTGATCATGGACCATTTCCAACTTAAACTGTCATAATGCTTTGGAGCAGACAGAAGTTTGGTCTCTTTATAAAGACAACACTTGGCAGATTATTTCTTAAAGGTGCCATATACAATAATTGAGGTAACAATATACGAAAAATGAGCTACACGCATCAAAAGAATGAGAAGAAATAAGTGCAAAGATGTCATTAAAAAACTGACAAGTTATAGTGCTGCCGAGATATTAACCTGAATTAGCATGCTAAATTACTAGCCCCGGCCCGGCAGGTATCGTAATACCAGTTCCGGCCATGGGAGGCGGTATGCGGACGGGCAACGTTAGCACCAGCCAAACTGCAATGCGCGAGTGAGTCGCGCTCGCGCCGGCTTGTGTGTGTGTGTATGTGTACTTGAACCTGATGTCAGTCGTGTGGAAAAACAGCCCACTACTACATTTCAGTTCAGGGAAGAGTTCAAAAAATGATTGGTCGACATTATGCATGAGGAATACATTTTGGTAAGTTGTAGCATACTGTATCTTTCACCAGTGTTCATGTTCTTTTTCCAGCTAGTAGAGACGATCAGTTCACGTGCGCTAGGGATCTGTAGTGTAACATGTAGGCTACAAGCGCCAAAACGGTATTTATTCTTTGAATTGCGTAATATAATTGACAGAATCTGAGAGCTTAACTAACCTGCTTGCTAAGTGTCAATTGCGTGTGTCTCACGGTGAATTCACGGCGCTAGCTTGATCAACATCAGCAAATGCTGTCTGTCAAATTAATTCACTAACAATAAAAGTGTAATATGAACAAAACGAATACCATAAACTTCAAATAATTGCCCAAGCTTTTATTTTCCCATACCGTCGAAATGCACCAGCTTGTTTTTGAGATCTATGAGGCGGTCTTCATCATTTAGTGTTGAGATTCATAGTGTTTAGTTTAGTTCACTCTAGTGTTTAGTTCATTGAGTCTCTGATCTCTAAAAATCTCCAAATGTTCCACGTGAAACTGCGGTCTTCCAACCTTTTACTATCATGTCAAATGATTTGAATAACATGCGCGATGGTAGGAGCACAAGTCATTGCCCCCATCTGTTATGGAATATGGAGTAGGATTTGATTTATTATGGTAGATGGCACCTTTAAGTGAAAAAAATATATATATAAAAAGGGGAACTTTTAAAAAGTTTTTAGTAAAAATGTTACATTTATTGTTATGAAAAATGCACGAAAAGGCGTATAAATATGTTTTTATTTAGTTAGTTTTACTCTAAAGCTGTGAGAAAATCAAAGCCATAAATCTAAACAAGTTGTGTTCCAAATTTGAGGTTGATTTTGAGCTTTCAGATTTTGTTTGTGTGCAATACCAAACGCTTCCACTAGATGAAATTATTCTCCCATTCATTTCCAATTCCAATTTTTGAGCGCGAACAGTAAAAGTCTGACTATTTATTTCAGAATGTGTGTGTGCGTGTGTGTGTGTACACAGCACCTTTATCAAGCTTTGTACCATTCCAATAAATTAAGAAAATTCTAAAAAAAAATAAAATAAAATAAAATAAAAAATATGACCCAAAGGGGGACTTTTTACAGAGATGCCATGGATTTTGACTTTCCATTTTATTTTCTTAGTGAAGAACATTTTATAAGAACCTTTTATGGAATTGAAAGTTACTAGATGTTAAAAATTCATAAAGGAACCATCAATGATAGTACACCTCAGTAACTGGCCTTGAGTCTAAAATTGTGCATGTTGGTTTCCAACAGCAACTGATTCTTATCTTTTATTTTATCAACTTATTTTTTCAGTTGAGTGATCAGTTTTTATTGAACACAATAAAAACACACTTAAATACATTCCTATTCAAATAGGCTGATGTGTTGCAAGTTGCCACGTGTTGCAATTCATATTTTTAAATGTTTCTCTACAAAAACAATGGTATCCTTTACATTTGTATTACATATTTGGTTTATTGTTCAATTGTTGCTGAAAAAATGAATTTCAACAGTGAATTGTCTGAAATAGTGATACAAAGAGGGGTCACAAAAGGTCAGCGTGTGTTAAATAACCCGTAACAACTGGCAGAAATGTTGTGTTAAATAGACTTTAATATGTGCTGCTAAAATATATATTAATTGGAATAAAAAAGTATGGTGACTGCTCCAATTACCCTTACATTTGGGTCAGGGACAAAAAGTGTTCAAGATAGCAAAACACTTGTTTTTTGTAAATGTTTGATGATGTTTTCATTAAATTACTGTAATTTGGTGTAATCATATTATTTATTTGCACGTCTACAGGGTCCTCTATCATTTCTTGTTGTGGTTTTCATAATAACAAAATGGTCTGTTAGTAATATCATAATTTCAAACAGAAGTTCGTTAATAGTTATTCTTTTTTAAAATCAAAAAGTTTGTTCAAGGGTTTCAGCCTTATTGTTTTTGTCATTTACAATACAAAAATATTAAAATGAATTTTAACGAGACTGCTGAAAAACAAATTTAGATTGAGGACTGTATAAAGATTAAGTCTCACCTTGCCGATCCCTTTCCTTCAAATTCCCAAATACTGGCCACTGAAATAAAAAAAATATGCTCCACACAATGTGGCAGTGAACAGAGGAAAATGTAAATGACTTTCTTGTTCATTAATTATGCTATAAAAATGTAAATTGCTCCGGTGCCAAAAATGCTAATGGGACCAAGATAAAAGCCTCCTTTGTCAAAGCAGAATGTATGAAAGATTCAGAATATTTCTTTTTAAAATCAGGAAAGAGAGAGAGATTCTGAGTTGCATATTGGCTTTTTGAAGAACCCCATATTCTGGAAAAAACACACATTTACACTGTAATTAGGTATTGGCTGTCAATCGTCTTGTTTCCCCCCCGCCGGTTCAAGTTCCTGTTTAGATTAGACTCTCGATGTTTCATTGATTCCAGGTCTTGCATTTCCTTCTCGCCGCTAAAGACAGATTGTTCCACTGTCCCGTCAAAACACAGACACCAGAAACCTCTGTCACACACATCTCAAACACTGAAATGAGGAAATTAACATAAAGGGTTATTAGTGTTAGCGCTCCAATAAACTTAAGTGAAAATGAAAGAACAAACTGGTGTGACGTCATTAATATGGAGTCCCTAAAGGGACATGGTGAAGGAAAAATATGAGACGAAATGAAAACATTTTTTTGCATTCCTTCAAGAAACTTTGGAGCCCCTAAAGGGACCTTTGCAAAAATAAAAATATACAGGCTTTCATGAGCCCACGCGATAGTTTTCTCGTGCGCACGAGATACTATCTCTCTATATTTTTATTTTTGCAAAGGTCCCTTAGAGGCTCCGTAACTTTACAAAAATGTTGTGAAGGCAAAAGTTTAGCGAGTGAAGGCAAAGTTTCTCAGGGGAAGGCTCATGCATTTTCTCCCCTGACCCCCTCCTGTCTCATATTTTTTCCATCACAATGTGTGTCTCATTTACTGTACAACAAAATCAGGCCAAAACTAAGTTGCTAGTTTTCAAACATCTTGCCAAAGTGAACCTTTCGTAAAACTCACTCCGGCTAGTAAACACCTTAAAGGGGTGATCAAATTTTCCCTGAGCTTTTGACATCTTAGAGGTCATCATATTATAAGAATATCCTGTAAGTTTCAGAACTGAAAACGTCCTTGTTAGTCTAATAAAAGCTTTTATTTACACCAGGCTCAGCAAATGACTCGTTTTTCAAAGTGGGGAACTATGAAGAGGATAAAACCCCACCCCCGCAGAAGAAGATTGACGCCTACTTCAACACGCCCGGTTTAGCCCCGCCCACCGATTCGCGCATTACACGCATAGCTAAATAACATAGATGCCTACCTCATGATGACAAACCGGATCGAGCTACCGAGCGATACAGAATATTGTGCAGTGCCTGGTCGTGCACTGTAAAAATGAATATGCTTTATCTAATCACAAGAATTGTGGCAACAGATTACAAGCAATATTATTAATTACATTTAACAAATTAGAATTAACCATTTAAAAGGAGAAAAGTTTACACCAAAAAATGTAACAAAAATATCTCACTATAACAGACAGATGTCAAAGATGAATTAAGAACTCTTTATTTTATATTGCCAACATTGAAGACACCTGATGTTAACAAGCAGAACCACTGAAGGAGAAAACCGTCATTTTAAAACAAACACCGATCACCATAATGGTGACTTAAATTTATCTTTTTTTTGGTTGTTGTTGTAAGTTTTACTCATTTTAAATGGTTAAGTTTTAA